TTTCCCTCCTCTCTCTCTCTCTCTCTCTCCCTCCCTCCTTCTTTCTCTTCTCTCGGTCCTCGTAAAACGTCGTCGTCTTTTCGTCGTAGACAGTTTCCCAGTCCGGCAATGACTTTTTCGTGGACGATGGGGAAAAGCAACGCACTTCTGGACTTCAGGAAGCTCCGAATCGTTATTTATTTCGGTCGCCGCCGAATGTCCGACGTTATGTGGCGTTCCATTCACGGGAGAATTTACTGCCGATGATCGCTTCCGCAAGGCGAGAGATACGCGCCGCTCTTACGAGGGATAACTTATATGTCAAATATTAGCTTGCGGTATAGGAAAAGTACGTTCTCGAAAATTCAAAAATCATATCATTAATTCCTGAACACGTTCGACACGAATGTAAACTCGTGATATATGACGACAGAACTCACGATGAAATAAATATCTTTCTCTTAATTAAGGAAAGAAATCTCTTATTAAAGCGAAAGGAAAATGTATGTATCATAAGAAAGATAAGTCATATAAATAATGGATAATTAACAATTCTGCCGCAAGTACGCGTTGAAAACCGTATGAGATATATATCGCTACCATTAAGCGCAATGGGAAAATAATATGTATTAATTAGCGGACTTTAACGCTCTGATGCTTTCCCTAACAAAGGGAAAATGCGGCTAATGTAAGACGTTAATCAGATTTATGGCGCAGCCCGATGCTATAAATCTACGGAAATAGTCGGTGAACCGTATCGCCAAATCGCGCTGCCGACAGGAAGAATCCGATCGAGCATTACTCTCCAGTCGAATAGGGTCTCGAAGAGAGAGAGAGACGGTCTCCCGGCGTAATTAATTATTAATTGGGATTACCATCTCTACCCCGGGGCGACCTCTCGACGACGACGTAACGACTTCCTTCGTGCCTTTCGCCCCTAAAATAAACGAGCGACTGCTAAGTAACTCCATGAATTTTCCGGCTGCGCCCCCAGAGTTGCTCGTGCCCCCTATGCGGGGGTGTAGCTTCTAATCATCCCCATCTCCTGGCCACACCCTCGGCTTCAATGACCACGGGGTCTATCTTATCCGTGAAGACTATACCGTCTCTTCCTTCCTATGTTCCGACGACGAAGTTTCCTCCAGTCCCCTCACTAGTCTTTTTTTGCTTCTCTTTTTTTTTTAACGACACGTTGCGTTTCCTCGCTGTCTCGGAGCTGCACAATTTTTCCTCGCTTTCGTCGTTAATGCGACACTAAATCGACCTTAAGCCACGGTGAGTCGTGGCGAAAGGCGTTAACGGCTGGCCTTAACGAATCCTCGGATGCTCTCTCTGACGTGTATATGTCTGAGACCTGCGTGCGGCACGCAAGCTCTCTCTCAGCGCGCACTACGATTTGAGAATTTATTCTCTAGGCGTTGTCATTATTTCTCCTTTCCTTCACGAATCCGCTGGTGTCAGTCGTGAACTAATTCGAAGTACATTTAACCCGTTCGCTCACGGAACGCTCTCGACGACGGACGGACACGCGAGTTGAGTAAACCTCAAAATAGGAGGCATTATCCTTAAAGCAATTGATTTTAAAATTCACGATTTCTTCAGCGAGTTCACAGTTACGAATAACTCAAAAGTTAGAGATCGTGTCACGAAAGTAAGGCAGGGACGAGCAATTATTACAAATCATTTTTTTTCAATTCGAATTGTATGCAAACAATTTTATCGCTAATTACGGTATAAACAACTTGGATGATTTATCATACAAATCAATGATGGCTGACAAGATGCGCGACGTTTGAATTAATTGCCAGAGATTGTCTCGGGCGTGTATGTGTATGTGTACGTATACATTTGTATGTTTGTGTGAAGGAAATACATTCATCTTACGTGGACGCACGTCGCACGCTCGAATCGTGACGAAGAAATCGACGGCGGGAAACGGAGGGCGCGAAAAGGGGAAAGGCGGAAGTAAATCATGCAACCCCCGTGACGACGTCGGTGCGATGACAAACGAGCACCGTCGACGTCATCGCGCAAGAAGTGGAAGCGACATCTGATAACGACCTTAATCGCATTAAGGTACGTCTCCGTCCCTCTCTCCCGTACAATCCTCCGCCAGTCGTGATCGTGTCCCTAATGTCCTGAGAAAAACCACCACAATTGCAGATAAATCGCTCCTGACCGAAAGTACCAAGGTACAGGAAGGGTGAGTCTTTGTGGATATCAATATCTTCTCTCGTTGACAGCTTCTGTTTTATGCAAGAAGGATTTACGACACTCTCTACGATAATCACTACTTTAAGTTGAATTTTAAAGAAAATCTTAAACACAGAAAAAGTATCTTAAACACAGAATCACATACACATACACATACACACACGTTGTCGTAAGGGTAAATATTAACGCACCAACGAATATCACCTGAAAAATTGAACCACCTCATTCGATTACAAAAGCGTAAGGTGTCTCATCCCACACGCACAAAAAGCATTCGTCACGCGTCGTTCTCGAGGGTCGCGGCATTCTCGGCGTTTTAAACACACTTGCGCCCCTATGAAAGAATGAATTCAGCTCGCAGAGAGAAGGGTTAAACACGCGGCACTTTTCGCAGCGTCTCGCGCAAGTCACGGCACCGCCGGATTACTCGCGCAATCCGGAGTTGAGTTTGTAGGACCCGTCATAAATTAACGCGAAGGCGAGAGAATAGCGTTACGGGTGGGTGAGGATAAAAAGAAAGGTAAAAGAAAGAGAGAGAGAGAGAGAGAGAGAGAAAACAGCCCTTCGTGGTTCTACGCAGGTATGGCGACAGCACGCGACGACAATATGCCGCGCGCAACAAAATCATCCCGAAACGAAAGAACAAGAGGAACAAAGAGGAACAAAGAGGAAACGAGAGAGGGAGGAACGTTTAACCCCCTCCGGCGACAATGCGACATTTCATTATTAACCCTCCCGTTGCGCCACTACTGTACGCTCGACCCCAAAGCGAGATTCAAATTAAACACACAAATATTTGCGTATTTTATTCCCGGGGTTTTGTCGGCCGACCGCGTTTTGT